TTAATTATTATTTTCAGAAGTAGTTTTCAAGCCAAACAAGTAATTGCTAACAAATATAATTACAATTTCATAATGATACCACAAGTAATTTTCCCTCGTTTCATTTGGTCCACTTGGACAGGACATGACACATGAAGCAATTATTTTATTTCTTTTTTTTTTATTTCTTTTTTTTTTCCATTAAAAAACAAAGCTATAAAGTTGTTGGCCGTAGATATTGAAATCACAGATTTATTACCAAATAGCTCCACCACCTCTTCCATCCCCGAAGAGCCATTTATGATCCACCCTCCATTCTTCTTCATCCATCGGTCTACAACACACCACGTGTTCCATCGCAATTGGACTACCAATTTATGCTCATCCCCAACTCATACATCCAACTTGCCACTCAACCGCAAGGAATCAGCAATAATATTTACAAAAATGACAGATATGAATCTTCTTTAATTTAATTTAAATGCCATCATGGCATAAATTAATAATAAGGACTGATTTTTACGTTTAGGGGTAATGTATTATCGGAGATAATATTTAAAGTCTAAAGTGTCACATCAACTTCGGAAGAGACGTATAACTTAATAATTTATTTTTAATATTTGTAAATATTATTGGATTGGCACATGTCACATGTGGATATACATGTTAAGACGAGTGGACCTCTTTTATAGATAGAGCGGAATTTTCAACAAAAAAAAAAAAAAAAAAAATTATACTAAAAAACATAATGAAAGCTTTCGTATTATAAAATTATGAATAAACATATATTTCACTTTCATTTTATTTCACTTTCCTAGTTGCTAATCAATAGCCAATCAATTGATTATCATATATTATTGTGTTCTTATCTTCATATTTTTATATTTGATATTAACAAAAGTATGATATGTATATCGCAAAGATTGATAAATTTTTCATAAGTGGATTATGACGAACCTATTTGTGTAGATAGTAGATAGTGAAGCAAGGGAAGGCAAAGAAGCAAGTTGAGTTTGAGTGAGAAGCTAGTTGTATTAAAAATAATGATGAATAAGGTCATAAAGACAGGGAATAAATGTATTTTTGATATAAAAATGGGATATTTGGTGAAATAAGGGTGTCATAATGATCAAAAAAATAAGTGAGTGACAAGTTGGGTAGTTGAAAACTATGGAGAAACCAAGAACATGAAAAGAAAAAAGGGTAAAGATGATGGGAGAAATAAGAACTGTTGATTCAAATGACCATAAAGAAAGTGACAAGACAAGAACATGATTGCGATTACTTTGTTGCATTAAAATCCTACAACACAGGGGAAGCTTTGCACTTTCTTCCAATCCCTAAACTTCATCTTCTGTTCATACCCCCTTTTTGTGTTCTTTTCACTGCTCCAATGGAGGAAAATTCCAGCCTTGTCGCAGAATCAACTCTCACAGACGCCATGGAAGCAGAGCCTCAAGAAGAAGAAAGAGACCCAGAAAGCAATCCCTTGAACGAACCCCTTCTCAAGAGAAGCAGAACTCTCTCTTCTAGTCCTCTTGCCATTGTTGGGGCCAAGGTTTCTCTGATTGAAAGCTTGGATTACGAGTAAGAACATAGCATTCAAAGCTTTGATTTCTCCTTCAGTTCTTCAATTTTTGGTTATTTGGTTTGGTTTGAATTCAGGATCAATGAGAACGATCTGTTTAAGCACGATTGGAGAAGCAGATCCAAAGTTCAAGTGTTGCAGTACATATTCTCCAAATGGACATTGGCTTGTCTTGTCGGGCTTCTTACAGGGATCATTGCCACTCTCATCAATCTCGCCATTGAAAATATTGCTGGCTACAAGCTTTTGAAAGTGGTCGGTTACATCAAAGAAGAAAGGTAAGTTCATACCCATTACACACTTGGTTTTCTTCGTCTGCAAAACACACAAACTTAATCAGTTCAAAAATTCTGGGTTTCAAATGATTTGGATTTAGGTACCTAATGGGATTCGCCTACTTTACCACTGCAAATTTCCTTCTCACTTTTGTTGCTGCTGTTCTCTGTGTATGCTTTGCTCCCACCGCCGCTGGGCCTGGCATACCAGAAATCAAAGCCTATCTCAATGGCATAGATACTCCTAATATGTTCGGCGCCACCACGTTGATCGTTAAGGTGCGTATGCCCTGCACTTTCTTGTAATGCCATGAATATCAATATCGATCATTGAGCAATCTACAAAAGAATCAGACTGATCTTGTGGATCACACAGAACATGTAGATAATCTGATAAACTGAAACTGATGATGAAATTACTCCTTTATAGGAATGAAAGCAAAAGGAGATGTATTTGATCTTTGATATCTTTACCGAGTGGCATTATAAACTTCGATCTTTGTAGATTATTGGGAGCATTGGAGCAGTGGCTGCTGGGCTAGATCTTGGGAAAGAAGGGCCTCTAGTACACATTGGCAGCTGCATTGCTTCTTTACTTGGACAGGGCGGTCCGGATAACTATCGAGTCAAATGGACATGGCTACGCTATTTCAACAACGATCGTGATCGTCGGGATCTTATCACATGCGGGGCGTCATCAGGGGTTTGTGCAGCTTTCCGAGCCCCGGTCGGGGGTGTTCTATTTGCCCTAGAAGAGGTGGCTACATGGTGGAGGAGTGCCCTGCTGTGGAGGACCTTTTTCAGCACAGCCATTGTTGTGGTGGTGCTAAGAACTTTCATTGAAATATGCAAGGCAGGTGAGTGTGGGCTGTTCGGAGAAGGAGGGCTTATTATGTTCGATGTCAGTAGTGTTTCTGTTAGCTACCATATCATGGATATCATACCAGTTGCTATCATTGGCCTTCTTGGTGGGTTCCTTGGAAGCCTTTACAATCATCTTCTGCACAAAATCCTCAGAGTTTACAACCTCATCAATCAGTAAGCAATTTCACTCTCACTTCCTTTCCATATTATTGGATCAAATTTGAAGAATGATCTGATAAGAACTGCAATGGTGAAATGGTATTTGCAGGAAGGGAAAAATGCACAAACTGTTACTGAGCTTAGGAGTATCACTCTTCACTTCAATCTGCCAATACAGTCTGCCATACCTTGGCCAATGCACCCCCTGCAACCCTTCTTTTCCAGGTTCCGCCTGCCCCACCAATGGCCGCTCCGGCAACTTCAAGCAATTCAACTGTCCTAAAGGCCATTACAACGACCTCGCCACCCTTCTCCTCGCCACCAACGACGACGCCGTTCGAAACATCTTCTCCACCAACACTTCCACCGAGTACCAGCCCCTTTCCCTCGTCATCTTCTTCCTCCTCTACTGCGTCTTAGGGCTTATCACTTTCGGCATCGCCGTCCCCTCCGGTCTCTTCCTTCCGATCATTTTGATGGGCTCTGGCTATGGCCGTCTCATCGGCCTCCTCATGCGGCCCTACTCCGATCTCGATCAGGGACTTTTGGCTGTTCTCGGTGCTGCCTCCTTAATGGCGGGCTCCATGCGGATGACCGTTTCCCTCTGCGTTATATTCCTGGAGCTCACCAACAATCTCCTTCTACTTCCGATTACGATGATTGTCCTTCTGATTGGAAAAACCGTCGGGGACTGTTTTAACCCTAGTATTTATGACATCATTCTACATCTGAAGGGGCTTCCGTTCTTGGACGCGAATCCGGAGACGTGGATGAGGAACATCACGGTAGGCGAACTGGCTGACGCAAAGCCGGCGGTGGTGACGCTGCGGGGATTGGAGAAAGTGTCCCGCATTGTGGAGGTTCTTAAGAACACGACGCATAATGGGTTCCCTGTTGTGGACTCGGACGCGGTGGTGCCGCCAGTAGGGATGGCAGTGGGGGCGACGGAGCTGCACGGGCTAGTGCTGAGAGCGCATTTGCTGCAGGTGCTGAAAAAGAAATGGTTCTTGAGAGAGAAGAGAAGAACAGAGGAATGGGAGGTGAGGGAGAAGTTTACATGGGTGGAATTGGCGGAGAGGGAAGGGAAGATTGAGGAGCTTGCAGTGAAGAAGGAGGAGATGGATATGTACGTTGATCTTCATCCTCTTACCAACACTACGCCTTATACAGTAATGGAGAGCATGTCTGTGGCCAAAGCTCTGGTTCTGTTCCGCCAAGTGGGGCTCCGCCATTTGCTCATCGTGCCCAAGTATGAAGCTGCTGGGGTAAGCTTTTGTTCTTCTTCTCCTCCTCCTCCTTCTTCTTCTTTACACATCAATCAATCAAACAGATTTGCGTGTTTCATTCTCTGCAGGCTCCGCCTGTAATTGGGATTTTGACGAGGCAGGATTTGAGGCCGTACAACATTCTGAGTGCGTTCCCTCATCTTGCCAAGATCAAAGGCAACGAAAAACGGAACTGAACCTCTCAGATTTGTGTCATTCATGATTCATCAACATACACATACTCTCCACACACATAGTCCAACCTCTGCTTTTCTGCTGCATTTCTTCAGATCATTGTTTCTATACTTCCCTCTTTTCTTCACCAATTTTGCCTTCTATTTATTCAATTTTACAATAAACAAAAGGATTCTCCATTCAATTTTGATTCTCTTGTCGTTGAAATTAAGTTGCCATTAATAAAATTTACGTCTATTTACTTCTAATTTTCTCTACACTTTTGAGCTCCAGTTCCAACTTCTCCTCAAACTAACGCTGCAATGACCGTGGGTCTTTGGTAAATTTTGAGCCTTGGACTGAGTTGGTTGGGCCTCTGAACCCCAACATAATTGGGCTCGACTGGGGCAGTTTTTGTCACTCCAGCAGAAGGGAAAATGATAATAATTAGCATTAGATGTGTAGTCATTTCAAACTTCCCATGATGCCTCACTAATTCCATATCATCATAAGATGACAAATTTAGAGGAAAAATAAAGGTGGCATCAAATGAGTTGGGTTTAAATCAACTTTATTAGTTTATCTTATCTTTATATCATAAAAGTCCAAAACTTAATTAATCCAACTCAGGAATGATTACTAAATCGAAGATCAAAAGCATGAACCATTAAGATGGGATAATTAGAATGAATCAAAGATTAAAACATCTTCTTCTTTCTTGCAAATGAACACCGTCAACAAAATATTGCAGTTTCACTCTTAATTGTAATAATAAATATTCACATTTTATATTCCGCACTTCGAATGATTATCCATGCACAGAGGATCTGATTTTATTTCAATTTATAAAGATCCAACCTTAAAGTTCAAGGTCCCACTTCTCCTCTGCCGCGATCCCCTGTTCTTGCTCTTCTTCGTGAGTTCTCCATCCATTTAGGGCTCAAGATACGCCATTAACAACCTTCAAATCCTCCTCCCTCTCGCGCGAACCGTTACGCGAAACCAACCGCGCAAGGCAACAGAACTTCGACTCATATCCGATCATATTTTTGTCAGCAACGCCGTTGCCGACCGAACCAGTTCCCGGAAGGCAAGGCTCATCGGTTTTCCGATTGTCGTTGTGATTTAAGAAAGCAAAACTCGCCTCATCTCCGAGGCTCTCTCGGAATAGATCAGCCAGCTTCTTCCTCCTCTTCGTCGGTAATGGCGACGAGTTGAATGTAGATGGTTTGTCGTCGGCACCGGCTTGGCTAGCTCGGGGAGTTCCCGCCGTAAAGCGGTGGTGAATTGGAGTATTGTCTCTGGATGGGGTGAAATCTGTGTAAGGTTTAAATTTTAGTATTTCAAACTTATTATACTCAAATAAATAATTATTTTCATCATATTGCTATGTTATTTTATTTTTTAATCTTAAATTTAGTTTACTCAATAATTATTTCTAACTAAAATAGTTACTTTTTGTATTTCAAGAATTAAAAATACAAGGGAGGGAACAAACTTCAAAACTAAAATGAGTGAACTTTAAAATATATAACCATCCTCAAGATAGTTTTTAAAAAGTACTTTTAATTAATATATAAATTTAAAGCAAGTTTAAAAATACAAAAGTCGATGATGAAAATGAAATTTAAATCTTTTAAAAAATATATGTTTGTTTTTAATCCGACCTAGGAATTCAAACCTCCATGCTTACATGATTTGAGCTAAAACAATTTGTGATTTATGAATCCAAATAATCTGAAAAAGGAAATTGAAATCTTGGATGATGATGGTCACCTCCTTTGACACTGAAGAAATCTTCACAATCGGAATCCAACCACGCTCGAGAATCAAAGAAGGCTTCTTCTTTGCTGCCTGTGAAGAAGAAACAGATTGAAGAAACAGGGCAATCCAGGAATGGCGCGGCGGAAAGAGAAGAGAGAGAAAAACAAAACCCAGAAAAGAGCGAAGAAGAATCGAACCAGAAGGCGTCTTGTGGTGATGGGGTACTACAGAGATGTCCTTGAAGACAGAATCGGCGTTGTCTTGGAGCTTGTAGTGTTTGATCGGTGAAGGCGGAATCTCAAACTTGTCCTTCACAGACTCCGACGGCGCCGGCGGTGGCTTCACGGCGGAGCATTCCGATTTACTGCAAAGGGAAGCACATGAGCCCATCTGTGTTGGCTTAAAAGCAATGGAAGAAGAAAGAAACAAGAGAGAGAGAGAGAGGGAAGAAGAAGAAGAAGAAGAAGGAAATGAGAGAGAGGCATGAAAATGGGGAGTTGGGGCCAAGGAAGGGGAGGACCCTTGTTTTTTAAAAAAAGAAAAAAGAAGATTAATTAGTATGAATTGAATGGAATGGAGGTTTGTTGTATGGGGAAGTGAGTTTTCAGAAATGGAAGTGATTTTTCCTTGGGATATGAGACTCAATTATTATTTACAATCAAATTAAAGAAGGAAGGAAGGAAAATGTGATAATCAAGTATTTATTACCAAAAAATGCTTCATTTTGTGGGAAATGGGGATTAGGAAAATGGAAGGGACATCCCCAAAACAAGGCCTGAAGCGTAGGAAACTACAAGTAAATAATGGGAGTAACGTGTCCGCTAATTGACTGGTCAAACATACTGCCTTCACTTCAAACCAGTTTAAATTTTAATTTAATTTCATCTTTAAAATAATATTATTAATCTTTAAAATTATGATTAAATATCAATTAATGTGTTAATTTAATCCTACTCCATTATATATGATTTAGATGCCAAATATTTAAATTCTAGTTAATCTTCTCCGCATGTAAACACACGCGTCTTTCTGAATATTTTTTAATTTAGTCCTTTCTTACCTTCAAATATTTTTTTAATATTCTTATCTAAATGGTGAACGCCAAAATTCGATGAGGAACAAACTTACCTAACCTAATATTTAAAACATATGAGATAGTTAATAGTAAAATGATAAGTAATAAGATAGTGATTTTGAAGACGGGCAAATAAAATGAATAATAATTAGAGAATTATATTAAACCAAACTTGCAAATAATGCCAAATGTTTGATAAATTTTATTTGTGATTACGCGGCTTGCCACGGTTTTTGAATATCTTAAAATTTTATGAATTATGTATAAAGAAAATCAAATTAAATGACAAAATAGGACACATTCTCCCATGTTCTGAGGGGCGCATAATTATTTATTCTTAAAAAAAAACAAAAACAAAAACAAAAACTTGCCACCTCAGGGTCCTGGTCTTGCCTCTTTGTATATGTTAGGTTCACGTGGCTGGCTGGCTACGGCAACCAATTATTCCACCAATCAATCTGCCTCTCCTACGTTTCGTGCCTCAATTTTTATTTCTTAATATGCTTTTTATTTTTTTATTTTCAGATAAAATCGTTCATTTATACGATATTAGCTTAGACAAAATTAACATGGTATTTATTTATTTATTTATTTTTCGTGCCTCAAAATTATTTATTTAAAGGGTTGAATAATAAATACGATATTTAAAAGTATGGGGTCCGATTACCCTTCTAAACTTTTAAAAAATTGTTTTGATTACGGAGCTAAATATCATGATGTCTATTTATATATATATATATATATATATATATATATGAATGAGGTAAGTCAACTACAAAATTCAAGTAATAAGAAGTCATGCTAGGATTTGATGTCGGCCATGACACACCTCACAAAACTCCACCCCCAATCAAGATGTTCCTGTTTGGTAGTTCCACCTTCGTTGTCACCACTTTTTTAAACGTTGTTATTATTGTATCAAAGAAATTTGGAAACTTATAGATTTGAATCTTTTTATTGATGGATGGAATGAATAAGCACCCAAGTCTCCCATTAACTGATTAAGACGATGTTATAAGATAATATAGGCTTGTAATGGGATGAAACATCAAATTGAATTTACTTTAGAAGGGATAATTGGGAGGGAAGTTTTGTTTTTTTTTTGTTTTTTTTTTGTTTTTTTTCCAAAATCATAATCAGTGTAAAATTTCCTTGCCCCCATTTACGGAAAAAAATGGCGTCAAAGTTTAGGAAAGTGGAGTTGTGGATTGACGAGAAGAAGCGAAGAATGTTGTGAAGATGCGATAATTTACGAAAAAAAATGTAGAAAAGGAGGGATGCCACTTTCAGACGGTCCAAAAAGAGCCCACGAAGGACGATCTTCTTATTCATCAGTCGAGCCGCCAGGGTTTGGTAAGATAATCTATAAAAACGAAAAAGCATCTGAGTTGGGATTTGGGGTTCTTTGTCTTGGAATTTTCGAGAATTAAATCTGTATCTGCAAATTCCTCGCTGTTGAATTACTCGAGTTTTTGATCGGCTAAGCGAGTAAGAGGCAGACGAAAATGGGAGTAGCTGCGAAAATCGCACCGTCAATGCTATCCTCAGATTTTGCCAATTTAGCTTCGGAGGCCGAGAGAATGCTTAAATTTGGAGCGGATTGGCTTCACATGGATATTATGGTACCCACACGCTCTCTATTTCTGTTTTCCTGAATCGCCATTTCTCTCCAGTTATAATTGGACGAAGTACCTTTTGATTCTTGCTCCCATTTGGTTCTGTTTCATAACCCAATAATTTGATCCTAGTTTTTGCCTTCTTAGTCTGATTTCCCACCGGTTAGTTCTCGTGTAGTTTAATTTGTTCATAATCTACTTGACTAATTGTTTGAATCGTCTAATTTGTCTGTGCTTTTCTGGGTCTTAATAAAATTTTATCTACCCTAATTTAGTACTTCTGTAGTAATAGTGTAAGGTAGTCCATGGAGGACGAGCAGACTTTTAGCTTCACCAATATTTTCTCTGTGCTACTAATTGTTATAGTCCTGTTTAAAGAATGGATTTTACTTTCTTGTAAATGGGTTGGTGACAGTGTACAGAAAGGCGCATGGAGAGATGCATAATCCAATTAGTGATCTTACAATGACATGCTTGCGAAGTTTGAGATAAATTTATCTGCCATCACATCTGATATCTGTTGTTGCTTTATTTGCAGGATGGGTAGGCTCATTCTTTGCTGATATCATACTCCTGTTGAACTGCAATGTGCTTCATGTGAAAGGGTTTTAAATTTCCCTCTAAATAACTTGACCTCGACCTGTGTGGTGTTTTGATCGCTTCTAGTATCTACTTTCCAGCCACATGCCTGCTTATTTATAAATATTTGCTGAAGAAACTTGAGAAATATCTAGTTTTATATATTGATTTTATTATTTCTAAAGTAAAAAAAATGTGAGATCTCGTATTGGTTAGAAAGAAGAACGAAACATTCCTTATAAGGGTGTGGAAACCTCTCCCTAGACGCGTTTTTAAAACCTTGAGTGTAGCTTAGGGAAAGCCCAAAGAGGACAATATCTGCTTTCTTTCCATGTTTATTGGTCTACCTTCAGAACATTCTTTCTGCTACCATCCTTTTTAATAGGAAATAAATCTGGGGCTTCAAACTAAAAAAGTGTTGGCCCCTACCCAGAATGAACTATTATCAAGAAAATCACAAAGATTTTTCTTTTAAATGCATCGACATGGCGGCCCCGCGAAAATCTATCCATTATCATTTGGTTGAGTTCATTCTGTAACAGGATTGTGGATCATTTCTCGGTGATGTGATTTGTGCATCATCTGGAGTAACATAAGTTGGGCTTGCTTTTCTAGCAAAGTAATAGTTTTTTTGTTTATGCATTTACCGCAGGCACTTTGTCCCGAATCTGACAATTGGTGCTCCAGTCATCGAGAGTTTAAGAAAACATACGAAGTAATCTAACATCTTTGCTTCTTCAGTTTGAGGAATTTGGATGTTTGTTGATGACATTACCTGAGTTTATGAGGAATTAATTTCTTGTCTTGCAGGGCATATCTTGATTGCCACCTTATGGTTACAAATCCACTTGATTACGTTGAACCCTTGGCAAAAGCTGGTGCTTCAGGCTTTACATTTCATGTTGAAGTATCCAAAGGTACATTGTGTTTGAACTTCAGATTTGTTCTACTTCTATGGCATCAAAATTGTTTAACTTTTCTTTCCCTCTTCTCTGGTAGACAATTGGCAGCAATTAATCCAAGAAATCAAGTCAAAGGGCATGAAGTCCGGGGTTGCGCTAAAACCCGGAACACCCATTGAAGAAGTTTATCCTTTGGTATGCAATTCATCTTTACATCTTCTCCCCCAATCTCATATCCTTCATTTACAAGGATGTTATAGTTCATTGATATATAGCGCTGCAAAGTGCTTATGGTTTTGTGCAAATGCTGCTTCATCAAATTTTTTATAATTGGTAAGTTATGCTTGTTCTTTTTTTCAATTTTCAGGTAGAAAGTGAAAATCCTGTGGAAATGGTCCTTGTTATGACAGTCGAACCTGGTTTTGGTGGCCAAAAGTTCATGCCTGAAACGATGGATAAGGTTCCATTACTTCGACATTTTTCAATATTCCTTGAGGATTGTCTGATTGGCGTTTCTTGTTGAATCTCATTACTGATTTTAACTTATCCAGGTACGGAAGTTAAGACAGAAGTACCCATCTCTTGACATTGAGGTAAACGCAACGTAGCGTGTACTCGTTGCAGTTCAAATTCAGTGTACAGATGGCTGTATGAGGGATGGCTTCTGACTGGTCATTGTTTGCTTTGGTGGGCAGGTGGATGGCGGGTTGGGACCTTCGACCATAGATGCAGCAGCTTCAGCTGGGGCGAACTGCATCGTTGCAGGAAGTTCGGTGTTTGGAGCTCCCGAGCCTTCCGAAGTTATATCCATTCTGAGGAAAAGTGTTGAGGAGGCTCAACAGAACTCTTGATCCTTTAACAAGCTTCAAGAATCCGCCATCAAATCTTGTTATACACTTTTTGCAATTCATACGGGATATTTTTAGATTGATAGAAGTTGATTTGAGTCAAGTGGTGTCACTATAATCTGAACTAACATATGATTCCTTTCTGGTTTTTTATTATGCTGAAATGGATTGGCTTCATGGTGGTTTGGCAATGAAAATCCAGTTCATCATCTCTATGGAGTCAAAGGCTGCATATCTGGCTCAATGTGGCGGCCGGGTGTAATGGCCCGACTTCACCGCTAACAGACATTGTCCTTTTGAGTTTTTCCTCAAGGCTTTTAAAACACCTCTACAAAGAGAGATTTTCACTCTCTTCTAAAGAATATTTTGTTAATGTTCTCTCCAATTAATGTGAGAACTCATTCCAAGTATGAAGAAAAGCATATGTTCCAAGTTTGACGAGAAAGAAGGAGAATGCAAAGCGCATTGAAGCAGAACAAGAAAAGGAGTAATCGTATTATTACAGCTGCTGAACTCATCAAAGTTCAGGAGAAAAAAAAAAAAAAACAAAATCAAGACATCATGAACATGAACTCATCGAAGTTAAGAACACCATCAGAATTGAGATCAAATTTAGCAATCATTTTGTTGCATTCCTCAATGCTCCTTGATTCCCCAAGCCTACTCAACATCCTCTTCAAACTCTTGGTCGTTATGAACCCACAACCATCCATTTCATACATCCTAAACGCCTCCTTCAAATCACTCACTTTCTCTTCCTCTCCCACTCCTTCCACAAACGCAACAAATTCACCCCACCCCATCAACCCATCGCCGTCCGTATCCAAATTCTCCACCACCATCTCCGCCTCCTCCAGCGTCAAACTACCCCCGACGCCAGCCATACACCGCTGCAGCTCCAGTGGAGACAGCTTCCCATCGCCATCTCCGTCGACCTGCTTGAACACCTTCTCGTACAACGCCATTTTGTCCATCATTCTGGATCCGAATGAAGAAAGAGAAATGGGGTTGAAGAATTGGGGATTACAGCAAAATGGGTCTGCAATTATATGAAAAGGAAGCGCGTACCGTGGTTTGACCGCCGGATTAGTTGGGGAATGAAAATGGCAGTTGCCGTCAAGTCGTGAAGCAGATGGTCGACCATTTCTTTTCTTCACCGTTTCAACGATGTCGAAGAAAGGGGCTTCTCAGCGATTGTTGAATAAACAATTCTGCCACAAAGATTTGACAGAGAAGGAAGGAATGTTGGCAACTTCCGACCGGTTTGACAGTTTCTTCCCTCCTGACGAAAACATAAAATAATAAAGTTGGAAAGTTCTTCTTGATTTATTCCTTTCACAAAGTTGCCATCTTTTTTATTTTCTTCTTCTGGGCTCTTCAAAAGATTTAAGAATTAAAAGCTCGAAGCTTCCAAACAAATCATTTTTGTAAGAAAAAAAAAAAAAAAAAAAAACCGAAACCTCCACATACTTTATGCTTAATATTAGCTCATCAGCTCCATTCTTCATATCTAAAAATTATTGTTTTAACTAAACTTCACTCATCACAATCATCACTGCAACACTCCACTATTTGTCTTCAACAAATGGTCCACTCTAAATATGAACTCTAGTGCACTGTAGTTTTCGCTCTAGACATTTACAATTCTACATCAGTTGTGAACATGAAATGAAAGAGATGGCAGGTCAGAGTATTTGCCTATCTACTTTTCTTGTGCGTCTGTTCAACTCATCTTCATCAAACTTGTTTTCGCCTCGTTTCGACTCAGAGTTGAGTTTCAGCAACTTTTAGTATATACAACTAAGATGTGGAATCAGACTTTTGCTCAGCATCAACGGAGGCCTGGACTTGAGCAGCATACTGCAAGTTCCACAGCACATCCTCAAACGAGGGTCGAGACGATATGTCGGTAGATATGCACTTCTTTGTGATAGATATAACTCTTGATAACGACTCTTGGGAGCTTGTGGTCAATACAACTGGATCCACAATTCGTCTCCGCCCATCCGTGCTGCCAAAGGACGCCTGTTGTTGTTTCATACACATAAAGATTCAGAAACCACAAAGAACAGAATAAGCAGCTCTTTTAGTTGAACTTGAATGGAAACTCAGCCATTGAGAATTGAAGAGGAGAAAATGTAAAATACCATGTCATTCAGAAGAAATGTTTCTTCTCTTCCAGTTACAATAGGCCCAACAAGTGATTCAAGCAATATATACCCAAAATTGTAAACATCATCCTCCACCAACTTTTTCCTTGGTTTTGAGCCCTCTCCCTTTGTCTACAAAAAGAAAGGATACGGTATAAGTTCATTCACCAAAAGAAGCCAGAAGAAATCTCAAGAACTAAATTCCAAAGACTAAGCTAACTAACTTACCTCGTGTTTTTCAGTTTCGTCAGTGATCATCAACGTGCCATAGTCGCTAAGTTTTGGAATTTGATGTTCATCAAGCAATATATTGTTCGTTTTCAATCGATTATTGAATGAACCAGGAATAACCCCTGTGTGTAGAAAGTGAATGGCCTTGGCAATTCCAATTAGAATTGTCAACCTATCTGACCACTTCAGTACCTTGTCTGGATAAGTTTCTACATTTGAAGACAATGAGGTAATGTCACCATTCCATCAATAAATTCAAAGCTAAAGAGAGCCTAAAACATGTTCAAGAATGCAAGTTTTACACCTAAAACTATTGTATAAGAAAGATTGTCTTGCAATAACCAGAGAAAACAATGTTTCAAAATTTTCTTCTTTAACTGTTGATGGTGGACTAACCTGATAAAAGGGTACGGTAATTCCCATTCGACACGTATTCGTATACGAGAAGAACTTGGTTGATACTTGAGTTGTCATGTCCGTCTCCTTCTATACAGTGACCAAAAAGGCCAACTAAATGGGGGTGGTGAAGCTTCGAAAGAACATCCAGCCGAACTTTAAGGTTCTGTACTGAAAATTTCTTGGATAAAGCTAAACACCTTATAGCAACAAGGGTCCCATTCTCCAATTTTCCTCTGTAGAGCTGAAGAAGTAAACAAAAACCTTAAATTTTCAGAATTAAATTCAACGCCCTCAAAAGCAGCTTCACAATAAGAAATCTAAACATGAATCTAAGCATCCTGGGGGCATTTTTAGAAGTGAGTTCGTAGATGAAAGGCTCAGCTAAGAAAAGCTTTTGGTTGACATAACCCAGAATCAGATCAAGTGCTTGGGTAATACCTTTCCTATAGAACCTTCTCCCAAGAGCATTGACCTATCGAAGTCCTTTGTAGCTTCCCTTAGTTCTTGAAAGGAAAATGATCGACATACTGGAACAGTCTGAGCACCTAGCTTCAAAGCTTGAGAAATAAACCCTACAAAATAACACTTCCTCTAAGCTTTCATAGACATTAGAATCAGACAAACAGACATAACTTACTGGCATTTGCAAGTAGCTCAGATGGAGCTGCAGCAGGTGAGTTTTCTTGTATAACTTTTGGCGGTACTGGCTGTTCTTGTACTGTTCTTTTGAAGAGCCTTCGGTACAAATAAATAAGTCCCAAGGCTAAAAGCACAATAACAATTATAGCTCCACAGATGAAGGCAACAATCAACAGTTTTTGTTTTCTTCTAGACTTTCCTGATCCTAAAAGGGCTTCTGCACAAAATGATGCTTCATGCTGGTGTTGCAAGTCAGAAGCAAAACAATTCCCACCAAATCTAACCATTCTCTTGTCTGAAGAACTACTCAAGCAAGTGGGAAGTGTTCCAGTTAACTTGTTGTTGGAAATATCAACATACCCAAGTTTTGTACTGCAACTTAGAGGATTTTGAAGAGATCCACTCATCATATTTGAAGCTAAATTCAGATATGTAATGTTTGGCAAATTGAACAGGAAAGGAGGTGGCGACCCTGTTAGTTGATTGGATGATAAATCAAGATGTTGAAGCTGATCCATTTGACTAAAGTGCTTAGGAATTTCACCGGATAGAGCATTCTTGCTAAGTAGAAGTGTAACTAATCCTTTTGACATCACAGGAAGCACAGAGTTTAGCTTATTTTCTCTCATATCCAGTACATGCAAATTGGTTAAAGCACTCAAGTCGGGCAATTCCCCAGAAATTTCATTGTGAGACAGAGAAACATCAGCTAATGTTCTAATTTTGCATAACGAGGAGGGAAATTGACCCGTTAGTCGATTGCTTTTCAAGCTCAAAAAGGTAAGGTTTGTTAAAGAATCAAGCCAATCAGGGACTGTTTCGTTGAAGAAATTGCCATCAAGAACCAATGAATAGAGTTGAACCATGGTGGAAATCCTAGAAGGGATTTGACCATATATGAAATTAGAGCTCAAATCCAAGAACTCAAGCGAGGAGAGACGATGAATCTTATCAGGAAGTGGCCCCCAAATGCCCAAAGAAATTAAGCTGAGAACCCGCAAGCTACTTAACCTGGACAATGTGGTAACGAAGGAATCCATGGAAAATCTCTCAGATAGAGTTTGATTCGGAATTGGAAACCCATTAAACCCTCTAAATTTGACAAGCTTATCCCCCATAATTCTGAGTTCAGTCACTACATTGTCCTGGCACGCAATAGTCATGTCTCGAGATGGGGAAACATTACAGAGGTCGCCATCGAAAGCGTCCATAACTTCCAAGGAAGAAGGGTACTCCAAATGCTTCCTAATCTGTAACAGGATTTGAATCTGAGAAGTTTGTAGCTGATGGGTATTGGGAAGGAATAAAACCCATGAAAGACTGACAATAAGGAAAAGTTGCAGAGAACCCATTTGAGAAAGCCTCTGAAACTAGCTGGGTAATCAACAAGATGATCGAAAACGAAGAACGAACGCAAGAATTCTTTGTCTGAACCTCATGATATGAAACTGGAAAAACTTTTGACCGAATTCATCAAAAGCGAACTATCTGGGGAAATTCCCCCAGCAGGAATTATTCTCCACTCGAGTAGAAAATACAAAAGTAATGCTGCTAAACCCTCAAAAACAGAGAGCAAAGCTCCGACCAAAAGGAAAAGAGAAAGCAATGAAAAAGAAAACAGAGAAAATCAGAGTAAAGCAGAGAATCTTCTAAACAGAGTACACTTCCCACAGGTAACAAACGCTCAAGGATGAAAAAGCTGCAATAGAATTGGAAGAGACAAGATACAAAAACTCAATCTGACGATCACAAACAATGTATCGGTAGGATAAAATCCTAAAAAACAGAGAAGAAACCAAACAAAACAAAAAGGGGATGGGGGAAATAGAGACAAAATGATAAAGCAGAGTAAAGAAAGCACTAGCGTTGCTCTTCCATAAAAAATAAAAAGGAAGAAGACGAAGAAGAAGGGAATTAAGGAGGATAAGAGATAATTGGTAGAGGTAGTTGAAAGGGTGCTCTAAAAATCAGAACCAAGACTGAAAGAGCATTAACTACACCTACAAGGCGGTCTTCTCTGACATGCAAGAGCTCAAGATTTCGTCCTTGGAGCAAATAAACCAAGTGGGGATGGATAAAATGGCGGTGGGTGTGAGCCCAACAGGAAAAAGATCGAATTCTGTGAAGAACAAAGAAAGTGGAGTGCGCTGGCGAGCTCTGTCCCGCTGCTAAATTTGAAACGCCATGCTACTCTCTCTGTGTTGTTTGCTTCTTTCTTATTACTCTGTTTTTTTTTTTTTTTTCCTTCGATTCTTTTTAATATTTCTCTGTTGTCATTATTATCCTACAGATTTCGAAGAATTTACGATGTTGCCATCACGTGCTCTCTTTTTTAGTTACCCGTTTTTATTATTATACACACAGTCTGAGATATTACCGTTATAAATGAACCGCCACGGTCACGAATCACAATTTCTTTCCCACATGTATTTTTTATATATATATTAAATTTAAGTTTTAGGTTTAAATTCCATTTTTATTTGTATTTTCGGTTTAAACTTTTAAATTATTTATTTTGGTTCTTCAATTTTTAATTTCTTTTTTTTTTTTTAATTTTGGGTTTTAAACTATTAAATATTAATTACTCTTTTCTTTTTTATTATTTTTATTTTAGATTAGATGAAAAAAAAATAAAAGAATAAAAAGAAAAGAAACGAAAGCGGCAGTAATAAATAATGTGAAACAACATGTGAGACCAATTTAATACCACCCCTCACTTATGCTTCACATGTCACACTTTCACTTATGCTTTACATGTCCATTCTCAACAGTTCTATTTTATTTTTATATTATTTTTTTAAAAAATATACACTTTGTTTTTTATAGGAACAAAATTCTTAGTGTAAAAACTTCTTTCTAGTATATGCGTTTTAAAATGGTAAAGTTGATGGTACGTAACGGATAACAACGAACAATATCTGCTAGTGGTTGACTTAAGTTGTTACATATGATATCAAAACCAGACACGTGACACATATTAGATTCCAAGGGGTGTGTATTGTGAGATCTCTCGTCGACTAAAGAGAATAACGAAATAGAACTTTTTTTTTTTTTTTTAAATCTTTTTATGGATAATAGAGCCAAACTCGTAATCTTCACACTTTTTCAAGACCAAACAGCCAAGAAAAGGAAAAAAATAGGGCTGTATAAATGGGACCATCTTATTCTTCATATTTTTTTTCATTCAATTTCAATATATAAAAAGTTCACTATGCGTTAATTTATATGGATGACGTTATACATGATGTCAAGTAAGTTTTACAATTTTTACATTAGATGTCGTATTAATGTCTTTACATTATATCCATAGAAAAAATTTAACCTAATGTTTATTCTCTTATTTTTAGATTGGCATGTTATATTCCTTTCATGTCTTTGTCATTTACATTATCTTCACCCTTATCCATTTCTTTATCTTCAATTTTTGAGGATTCTTATTTTACCTTCATAAACTAAAACGACAGAAAATAGTAATACTTTTATCGATACTTTATAAAGAAAAACTTCTAGTACTTTATTTTAAAGTATTCTAAATTTTCAAATGTTTCAATAATCTTTAAAAAAGTATTTTTATCATTAATATATATATAGACAGAAATCGTTAGTACCTCATTCGAGAAAAATGGATATGAAGTAAAAAATTGCAATATTTTAAACAAAAGGTCAAAATGTAATTGTGGCCCGCTAGTAATGCAGGTAAAATAAAATATTATTTGAGTAGGGTTGGGTTATAAATACTTTTTTTTAGTTGAATGCAGGTTAGTCTTGATTCTCAACATACCCTAAGCTGCAAAATTAAAAGAAAGAACTTTAATAGGAGGCATCAATGATATAATAGTAAGTAAATGTCAGAACCCAAATACAATTATGAGCGAATAATGGGCGAAACAGACGAGAGTTTGAATGCGAGAATTTGACTGTGATCACCGGAGACCTAGTCTACTACATGTCATAGCATTGCCTGACATTGCAGCTCAGTTACAATGGCTTCTAATAATTAAAGGTTTGGGCAGCAGTTGATAGGTAATTTGAATGTTTTTAACAAATTTATAAATTGAATCTCAAGTATTATATGATTTAGTTATCAAGATTATAAAGTATCCTTATAGTATCACTATAAATAAGCACATGTATGCTCAAGACCTGATCACTTTTACATTGATAATTAGTATTTTGTCGACTAAATTATATTCAAATTGACGATGTCTCAAGCATCTAGAGCGTTAAACGAGCAAATTCTGATATTCAGAACAACAGTGTTCACTTGGACAAAGAAACTTATACTGAAATAAGATCATGAAAATGTACCTTTTCCTCCAAATCAGGCCAACGAGATTTGGAGAGACATGAGCTTTTAAACACTTGCCCTACATGACATCAAAAAAACAAGTACAATACATCAGGCTTACGTCATTGAAGTGGCAAAATGCTTTTCAATCCCAAGGCGGCGTTGAGGCAGCTCAATATAATTAACAACAGAAGTGGAGTATCCAATTACTTGGTTGGTTGGGTAAGTAGGATCCAACGACAGAAGGGTGGATCCACACTTAACGTGGCCACTTGAAACAGTAAAACACACTACTTTTTTTCACAAAAAAGATAGCTGGTTGTGCGTCTGTTTAAGCACGCAAGCGACAGTAGTTTCAAGAACATGCCCTTCAAAGTATCAGAAAAAGATGAAGTGCGTGTGGTTACCAGAGTTCCGAAGTTCAATAATTGTAACTTCATAGGTTGGATTGGTCATTGGAGGACAAATATATAGTAATTTTATTTTTCTCTGTGCAGAATACGAAAATTACAATACAGCATTCCAGTCCAGAAGATTTATTTTCATAGCAACTTGGGGAAGTTGATGTTATAAGTCATACAACTACTAAAAGCAATGATCAAAAAATTACTTGACAGATAATGGATGCTGGAAGCTGATTCTTCCAACAGTTTGAGAGTCCCTGCAAGCACAACCATTATAACAGATTATACTACAAAATTAGTTTTTGAACTTTCAAATCATTTAAAATTTAAAGATCTAAGAAAAGGGTAAAATCACTCACTATGTAACAAGGATGCACTTTCATTTTTTCAACTCTTGTTGTTCAGCACACGGCTGATGAGTAGAAGACTCCAGATAAGAAATAACAAGATCAGCAGCTTTGCATCCGGAGGCTATAGATTTTCCAACAGACAAACCATCCCTGTGGTTACCTACAAGGTGCGTAATTCATAAGGTTGAAAATCCACAACTCACAAGAAACTAAAAGTATGCAAGATTCAGAAATGAAATAGTTCATATTACTCGGGGATAGGAAAATTGAATGTAACAAAACAGTAAGAATACGCCCATCACATCACGTCATAGGATTTGAACAAATATGTACGAAGCTAGATGTAAGTAATGTGAACCAAAAAACGAAAAACGGATATGAGGATGACAAAAAGTTAAAGGTATAATATGATTTAAGAAAGAAAGTTTGATGATTATATTAACCTTAACTTACGAGGAAACCTAGCTAAATTTTTTTAACTAGTAATTATTTAAAATAATATGAAAAAGGATATTCTAAAATTTGAGTCATCCTTTGCTTCTCTGCTAGAAAAGATAATAATAAAAACTTCATATTAGTATTATTCCACCTCATATCAACAGTACCATGCCTTGTGTTAGACATTGCTAATCAAACTAATAATCAAATCCACATAATAGGATGCGCTGAAAATAAATTTTAAAAACAAATCACTCTTAAATTTAATTTTCAAGAATAACAGTTATTTAACAACCTCAAATTCTAGTTCTAATTCTAATTCAGAACACTCAAACACAAGAATAATTTCTGCAAATTCTGGATGCCTTGTAGTTACCTGCATAAAAGAAGCCAGGAAGACTTTTTTCCATTGTTTCAATTGCCTTCACAACTGAATCATAGTTACGCCCATATAAGGGAAATGCTTTGCTCCAGTAGAAATGGCTGTCATTGTACGTATAACGTGCCAGAAGAAAGTGTGAACACACGTGAAAGTTCTTGACATTTATTTCTAATCAAAACTATCAGGAGTGATACGATGTAAATGGAAGTTTGTGTACTTGACAAAAGTGGGCTCCCCTTCAACTCCCAACAGCTGTCTGAGATCCGATGTAACAATTTGCTTCAGCTCATCCCTGGAAAGCAAGAGAAGGAAAGTTTAGTTGCAACATGCAAGAATAAAACAGAAGTAAAAATAAAACAAAAACAATTTGTTGAACTAGATAATGGCAGCAATATATTTTTTGTTTGTTTGCATAATAACGAAAACCAAGTAGCGCTACTAACGTTGATGACTTTGCAAGCTCCCTGTTTCGACTCCCTCCAATAAAAGTAGTATACAGATACTCATCATTTGATGCACGATTTGGAAACATCATGGAGGAAAAGAGTGTACCTGTAGAGAAGAATTACTCGTCTGTTTGGAGGAACAATGTAAGTTTTCAGGAATCCAAAAGAACAAATAAAAATACCAAGGGTTCTTAGACCATTTTGTTGCTCTAAGGAAGGTACAAGAACTCCAAATCCCTCCAGTGGTCGCTTAACACTTTCCTTTCTGAAGGTAGTTATCATGACTGACAAAGGCAAGTAAGCCACCTGTAATAAAAATAGTGAAGTCTTCAGCTACTCTTACGAAGTTGCTTTGAGGTTTAAGAAGATCCAGTACTTTATGTACCAAAGGAAGAAAGGGAAAAGTCGTGAGGGGGGCTCAGGTGTTTAGACTCGGGGGAATGGGAGTGTGATGCAAGTGTGGGGGAGTTCAGGTAGGAAGTACGTAAGGATGATGTCACAACACGCCATCCAACTGTTCCCTGATCTGAACATTCAGAATAGAATTAGGGCAAGAATTTAAGCGTTGGTCGGTTTAGATGTTACATGCATCCATCCAAACTATTGCATCAGAGTAGATACAGAAGCAGAGAAGTGGTTGAAAAGTTCTTTAGGTTTTCTGAAGATATATCTTCTGTGGTTGAAGAGTTCTTTACATTTTCAGAAGATAATAAAATATGGGGAAAGCCTCTTTCTTTCTTTCCTATTCAGGGTCGAGCTTCACCACTTCAAACGAAAAGAATTGAAAAGAAAAGAAAATAAAAGAAAAATTCAACTATTAATCTCTTTCTCGTCATAATTTCTATTTGTATGAACATTGCAAACATGCATGCCATATAACAATATCATTATTGCTTTTCCTTTCATAAATCTGCTCATATTACCTCAGGAAGAAAATTTAGCGGAAATGGAATTCCTCCTTTCATAAACTTCATTTCTCTGACATTGCAAACAGGAGCCTGGGATAAGACAAGCGTGTCATTAAATGCCTCAACATGTTATTAATCAGCAGAACAAATACAAACTTAAAAATAAGACATTTCTGAAAATAATAATCAATTGATAATAGTATTTAAATATTTGCCTCTACTCGAGACAAGGCAGGTATAATTGAATTAGAAATTAAACGATAATAATAAAAAATAATTAAAGTTGTTCCCAGAGATGGTCCCTGTCGGGCCAATCAAAATTTTAATTTTTTTTTCTAGCAGTGGTATCCAGTTCTAAACTTGAAATGCCCTTATGTAGTCATACAGTATGAGTTTTAACATTCTTTTAGCTCATTTCTCTTCAATTAAGGGAAGCTTACCGCTGTACATTTAGTAAGGTCGTCTAAAGTATGAAGGATTGTGCAAAGCAAACAAATTAGAAAGTTCAGAAACACATAAAAGCAAACAAAAATCTCCAATGGGCCTAACCGTCATGATTACAGCATCAGCGTCAGCAATTAAATTCTTAGAATTCCGGTCACTAGAATAAGTGAGTGACCAATTTTGTGAGGCGGACTTCCCAGCATTGTAAGATAATGACAAAACTTCTGATCTTAACTTAAGCACATCTTCACCGAGCTCTTTGCTTAGCGTATCAGTGAGCGTCTGTCACAAGATGGATCAATCTAAACATTTAGTTTCAGCCGAGGAGGAGACAACAATAATCCATGTAAAACGAGGCTTATTGGACAACTGTCAAAATACTAGTAGAAAATGAACTCAACAATAGTGAAACTAAATGAACCAAATCCTACAAAAGAGGGGACTTAAAGAAAATGGCACAGAAGATACCTGCATTCCATTCTGAAAGGAAAATGAACCACGAGTAGGTTTCCTTTTTCCTGTAGTACCATTTCTCACTCCACTATTCTCCTTTTTGGTAGACAATTTCGACTGCACTAATCCAGATAAAATAGAACCAAACCTGAGGAAAAAAGAAAGCTCACCACTAACAAATCAATACATTTTGTATAACAGGCATTACAATGCCATAAAGCAAAACACCCAAGTCTAGAAAAATTGTACAGTATTCCGACCAAGGATAGACATTGGGCTAAAGCAGTTTCAGTTCTTTTTACGTTTACAATGAGTTTATAAATAATGAAATTGCTTGGTGCAGTGCAATAAAACTTTAACCAAAATGACTTGATTGAAGCTCGATTAGAGCAGTAACAATTTAATGGGTCATTTAGAAACTTATTCTAAGGTTTCTAAAATCGGAACAGTAGTAAAGTAATTTAACGTGAAGTATGTATCAAAATTACCTTTTCTCTATATTCCACAGCTCCGGAAATGAATGACTCATCTGTTGAACGGAAGTAAAAAAAAGAAGCAGAATTAGTTAAGCTGCAATAGGATAATAACAAATATGCCCCTGCTTATTAGTTGATTGATGACCAACGTACAGCTTTTCACACACAAAATTGGAAGCTCAACTCAACCCTAAGCATGACTATTGTCAAACATGCAAATAACGTAGAAACCTGTACTTGAGTTTATTGGCTTGCATGATTTAAAAGGCATGTTTGCCTTATAACTAATACAAGAAACAGAAAACCGAAATGTTAGTACTCACAGAAAGAGAGTCGGGATCTCCAGCACTTGTACCAGCAACAATAGGATCAATTAGATAGTCAACAACCTTGAAATTTAGGACAAGTCGAATAAAGAAGGCATTCCATATATATAATAAATATTCTATTTGTGCCATAAATAATACAAAGTATTAGGGTCTGTTGGCAAACTGTTTTATAAGAAAAGTTTTTTAGTTTTGCTTTCGAACTAGTTTCAATAATAGTGATCATGTTAGTGCTATTGTGCACATTGGAATTATTACTCACAAACTTGTGATTTACAAAGAAGAAAACTTCAATTATTTAAAAAATCAGTTCATTCAAGAAAAAACTCTAAAAGAAAATAAGAAAAACAATTTAAAAATATTAGTAATGATAAAACATGTTTGTTTTACTGAAGAAGCCAACTTTCATCGAAAAGAAATGGAATTTGGTGAAAAGAGTTCTCAAACAGATCCTTATTTATCATATGTTCGATGACCATGTTTTATAAGTAACAAACTTATCATGATAAAAGCAGAAAATTACCTCTTTTCCAAAATGACGCTGAAAGAACCCACCCACACTGTGGATAAAAGCATAAGAAACCAGTAAAGCTAAGATAATTTCCTCAAAAAGTGAGAACAAAAGAAGAGAGAAATTCGGTGAAGTTAGTTTGCAATCTAGAGAAACAAGGTCATAACCTTTCGTCAGTATCATCCTCTGATACTTTTGATGTACTATACTTTTTCCACAAAAATGGCTCCAAAATTATCTGAAACTGCAGATGACAAGTGAATTAGTAATATGAAGGAAATTTTGATAATGATGTGTTTGTGCTGCAATGCAATATTATTTGTACTAGGAATTACAAGAACTCGCAACAGAGAGAACTCTAGGGAATTCGAGTATCCTGGCAATGCTACCCACACCCAATCAAGTACCAATAACACCTTCACCTCCCTCTCACCTGCCACGACTTCAGCATCATCTAACTAACCACCCTAGGACACAATTGTACAACCTATAGAACAAATCCTGTAGAAGTAAGGTCGTAAAACTAGTGTATGTTTAAAAGTTCTAAAGTATTGTCTATAGCTATAGTTGCTTCCTTTAAGCTGCTCCATCGCTCTTCTTCCTTTGTGCATACGTAAAACCCTCTGTGGGCTTACCATCACCACCCTCCATGCTTACTTTACAGATCACCTAAACTGCAGCACTAAGTATCGAGACCACCATGGAGAACCAAGTGGAAGAATTTTTTTGATATTACAGGACTAAGTAAAAGAACAAGATCAGGCTAAACATTGCAAAAAGGCTGAGAAACCAACACCTCCAATGAGGTGGTAAATTTAACAACCTTCTGAACCTCCCATGTTCTTTTGAACCCCTCTAAAAATCTTACTATTCTTCTTGATCTCACAAAGCAGGGAAAAAACAACCATGTCAAAAGACTCAAAGTCAAGTGTCCGCACTCTTCTATCAAATATCAAACATGGGTAAATAGTCATACATTTGTAAAATACAGATTTGTTATAAACGATTGTGACATAAATACTTCATCGAACATGCCTCGATTGTCAGGTAGAAACAAACCTTTGACTTTGTAGATAGAATGTTGCTCTTAATCAGTGCAATGGGATCTGTAGGCACCTAGTCTCGGTCATGAAAACAAAAATAATAACAATAAAGAAGAGAACGACGAAGAATGCAAAAAAAAAAAAAAAAAAAAAAAAAAAAAAAAAAAAAAAAAAAAAA